GTAAGCAATAAAATGATCAAACGGTGCCAGTTGCAGAAGTTTCTTGGCACTTCCCATGATTGATTGCTTTTTGGAACCATGTGTTTGAGGCTCACAAGAAAAGACTATTTCTCAGGTATCCCTGTGAAGGACACAATACTTGTGCAATACATAAGATTATCTGGGTCCAAAACAGTGCTGTATATGAAATAATACAATGCCATTGTGTGAGGGGTAGTTAAAAAAAATAAATAATTTCCAGCGAATTTTTAAAAAAATATTTTAAACAATGAAAATGACAATGAGAAAAGGACTTTCAAGTAAAGTCATTACCTGGAAATTTTAAAAAACAGTCCACTACAGAGTTAAGAGATGTGTAAATTAAAGAGTACGTTTGCATAGTGAAGTGCAAGAAGATGACTGCAGTTCAACCAACACACAAAAAGTATAATTTATAACAGTAACAGGTAAAATGAAGAAGAGAAAGACCAGACGGTCTTCCACGTCAATGACAATTTGTACATGAGAATCAGAATTAAGATTGTCACTATGGCAAAAATTTGTGGAGTTGAAAATGTGGTACCTTTATTTTAAAAATAGCACTGGGAAGAACTCCAGATCTAGTATGAATAGCAGGTAAACTGACAGAGTAATTGGAAATAAAATGACAAGGTCAAAATGAATCAGTAGTAGAAGAAGAAATGCTGGAAACGCTTTCAGGGAAAGGCTGATTACAGTCAGTGTAGGCACATTCCTGCAATGAAACCTGTGTGAGAGCACCCGGTTCTTGGGGCTATGTGTAGGTGATACCAAAGATATTTTAAAAATTCAACATATGCGGTGCATTTTTCTTACTTGTCTGGAAACACTACACATCATGTCACAGCTCACAGTAAAAAAAACCTGAGACACAGTACAGGTAAAAGCCACGCAAAACTCTTACCTGTTTTAGGGAGTTTGATTAAAAATTCAGAATCAAAAAAGATCGATAAAAGGCAATGTCACACAGATTAAGAACCACCAGATATCTTAAAAATAAATTGTTACCAGACATTCATGACTAAATGGGGACATCAACAGTGAATTTCTGCAGATTATTGTAAGGATGAGAATACTACTTGATGTTTCCCTGAACAGCTTTTGAGTGCTTATGACCAAAAGACTGGCAGTGCAATTAAAACAGGGACAGCAGTTGTACATACAAACATATGTTTTGACACATGGATAATGAGAAGTGGAAGATGCATCTGGAGAGTGAGTGACTCTGAAAGGAACAAGGCAGGGGCTCACATTGCCTGAGCAAGCTGCAGTGAAGAGCATTAATGAGAAGTAAAACCAGCAGAGTGATGACTTCTGATCTCCACTGCCAGGTTTATTTTTATCCAAGACTGTTTAAAATTAAATGCATAAACAACCTGGAAAGAACACACCTTCTCCCCTGCTCCAAGGTACGTGTTTTGAACACTATGCTATAGTTAGCTCCTCCTTTGCTCACTTTCTTTCTGGCTCTCCTTTGCATAATAACAGCTCACACAAAGGCAGAGAGTGCCTTCTTGCCAGCACACATGTTCACTTTGGTGGTTAATGCAGACTGCTGAAATCTGGAGATGTGAATCTGTATCCTGTCACAGAAGCAAACGCATCATCCACGTCTCTCACCTCCTGCAACACCTCTAACCAGAAACTAATTATTTAAAAGGCGAACATCATATTTTCTGTATTTCAGATCAGAAGAAACGATCCTGGAAGAAAACACGCAAGTACTTACATGCAAGCTCTGAATCATGAGCAGATGGCGATAACTACCTGGAGTCCTGACTCAGCCACTGCAGCACTGGAAAGGGACAGGATTTCACACGGGGTTAACATTCCCTACTGCTAGCTCTGGGCTGCTCATCTCCCAGAATAACCTGGTTTTCAGGATTCAACTCATCCTATACGCAGCAACACAGAGACTTCCGTTGGCTTTGGCCCTGGAAGAGTTTTTAGGATGTGTTTTAGATAAAGGCAAGTGATGAGGCTTACCACAGAGGAAAATGTGTGCACTTCAGTGGCCTTTGATATGCACGAGAGACTAGTATATCTAACAGTTCTTAACTATTAGCAGTTTAACTTCTGTTCTCCCCCGTAAGAGAAGCGTAACATATCATGTTTTGTATCACCGATACTGTATTTTATACCAAAAAAGTATTACATAATCTCATACAAGACTAGAACTGTTAAAATGAACAGATCTTTAACTGAAGCGATTATCTACAACTGCATAGATGACTACGACTGGAACTTTCCCAAATGAAACTGTTTGTAGAGAGATTACACTTGAATTGTTAGACTCTAAATAATAAAAGAGCTTCTGTATCACTAAATTTCAATGGGATGCATAAATAATAAATTTTAACATTTTAAAAGTATCCTATTTTGTTTCCGTTTTGAAAAGTCATACTGTTAAAAGGTGTTATTTTTGAATTTTACCTTTTCCCAGTCATTATTGACACTATCTTTCTCCATTTGCGTAACTCCACATGAAAGTATTACAAGATCAGTTTTAAAGGCATGTCCCATCAAATCTGTAAACAAGCAGCCAAGAACCATTTTTATGGGATGGAGCCATGTTTTTCAACGGTGCTTTGATTCCCCAATTTGGAATTGTAAAGGAACTACTGAAATACAAAGTGTCTAGACTGACACCAGTATCAGAAAGAAAAACACTAAACTTGCTACTCATAAAACAAAGGCAAACCCCCACCCTTCCTACTCTATAATATAAACTAGAAGCCAAAGAAGTAAATCTTGATTCGACAACCAATCTGGACACCTCCCTCCCCCTCTCCAAAAAACCCACCCAGGCACTTGCACTAACTCTTATCTCAACAAGCGACAATCTGCCTTTCTTCAATGTTCTTACTTCGCTGACCCACTAGTAGAAATACTACAGTATTGTGTTTGTCTGGTGGTAAATGACTGCCAGTTATCTACCACAACGCATCTTATAGGCTGTTGCTGTCTAGGGCCGTATACATAGAATGAAAGATGGAATTTTGAAGGTCAGAAGGGTCTTTTCACTAAAACATAGGCAAGGATGCATTCTCGGTCTAGAATTAAAAAGTTCCATTTTCTCCATCTTCAGTGGTATGTATAAGCTGCACTTGTCTTTGTACCAAGGTCCCCGAGGTAGACAGATAGAACAAGCCAAGCTAAATTGTGTCCCCTACTTACTTTGGATGAAGGATCACTTCTGCTTTCTCCTGAAGGAGTTTGTCTGATGATGGATAACTTAACTTTTTTGTAAATTCTTGCCTGTGCAGAATTAAATGCCACTTTACTGCAAAATCCTCTTCTCTACAGTTCGTTTCTTCTCCAGCTCAACTAGGGAGGAAGAGCACCTTGGAGATCACAGTCTCTTTTTCATCTCATAAGGGTGCTGACAGAACAGAAAATGTCACAACTTTCTCCACGCAATCGATCACTTCAGCAGACTGCAGAGCTGGGCAAGGTTACATTCTGTATCTACTACTGCTCTATCAGGATTTTGGCACAGTGAAAACTAAGCTCTGCGTAGCCAAAAAGGTACTATGATGAACATCGCTTCTGGAAACTGGAACAGTAATAAACTACGATTTGAAGGTATCTCTTAACAAGCTTTTCATAAAGAAGCTGCTGTTAGTTTGTCTGCCTTCATATTTACAAGACATGCTGCTTGCACATTTAGTTTGAAAAAAAACCACCCACATATGGTAGCAACCATTGAGACTTGTCAGCAATCTTAATTCTTATCACTCTTCAATTCTGAGTAACAGCCCTTTGCAACTCAGTCATTAAGCACCCTGTTCTACTTGACATGACTCCAACTCAGCCAGTCCTACAGCAGTTACAGCTTCTGAGCTACTTTTGAGTTTTCTCCCGTCCTACCCAGGGAACACAGCAAAAGTGCCATTAAAGAGCACACTGGTGGAAAAGCCTAGCTTTGCTAATCGTAGTCCAAATACTTCCTAACTTTGCTAGACTTGTAAGCATTTCTCACACCAACTCTATTAGCATTTACCTTTTTTCCATGCTAGGCTTCTGCTTGTCTTGTTTCCTAATGATGCAAAGCTGGACTCCCAACTTTTCTCTACAGTCCCACAGTTTTTCACTTAATTTCAGACAGATACAGCAAACAAGACTGAACTTTTTTAATTTACAGTATTCATTGCTCTGAGTTATGCCTTACTGTTGGTACACAGTAAATACATTCATCTGAACAATTCACTTCGTATGAAAAAAATGCAGTTAAAACATTTAAAATACCGCTTTACACTGTGTGAAACAGAACCTTCAGCAGTAATGACATTGGCTACAGCCAGGCACGGACGAAGACTGTTTCCTTTTAGTCTACCAGTGCATTCATTCCTGTACCCCTTCATCTGAAATTGCCTGTAACAGCAGATTTTAGGTGAATGCTTCTGCAGAGTTAAGAAGATTTAATAACTCTCAGCTTGGTCTTTAGCACTTTTATTTCCAGAGGAGGATGCTTTTGGTCTATTCATTACACTAAGAATGGCTGGTTTTGGAAGATTTACCGAACAAAGGGTTTCAATAACATTACAAAACTGAAGCTGTCTCTGAAGGGGAGTTATAGTCTACTGGTGCATGCAGCTGTCAGTCTGGATAAATGAGGTAACATGCTTCCCTCCGATAAAAGAAGAGTGGCTGGGCACAACTGCCATTTCACAAATAGTACTTAAGTCAGATGAAATGCATTCTTACTGCGAGCTTTAAAGACAGATTAATATGTACCACAACACCTAGCACTGATTAAATCTAGAAAAATACAATATTGGGATTTTTTTTTTTAAGTCTTTGTTGTTTTGTTTTTTTTTTTTAATCTTTAAAGTAATGTAACAGAAGACACATGGTGGAATATGCCAGAAACCACCCTGCTTTTTAATCTGAAAGAGTGGGGCTGTCAAAGCTATTTATGCTGTGACAATTACTCATTTCATTATTTGTATTTTTTTTAAACAATGAAGAGGCAGGAAATTTTTATTTATATTTTTAATTCTGTGAGCAAGAATGACTGAACATTATACTAATTTAAATCAACCCAATTACATAGTTTCCACTAAGTTAATGGCTGCCAAACAAGTGTGTACTCCAGTGACCCATCGTGAGCAACATTATCTGATGGGCGAGACAGCTCTTAAGGTTAGACACAGTACATGTAAAAATAGAAAGTTTAAAAACCAATATCATCACAGACTTTTCCATTGCCATCTCCTTTATGAAATAAATAAGGCAGCAGATAACTTTTACTTTGAAGTGGCATCTTTGAGGTATGCTATTAAGTCTGCTCTCTCAGACTTCTTCTTAATACCCGCAAAAATCATCTTTGTTCCTGGGATATACTTCTTTGGATTTTCCAAATACTCCATCAGAGTTTCTTCACACCAGGTGATACCTAGAGAGAAGGAAAAAAACATAGTTAGCAGCTTCAAAATAGCTAACAAATTTATATTCTTGTCCTTCATATTCTTTTTCTTCTGGCAGATTTCAGTACTTATAGAACTATCACAGAAAACCGAGTACTTTCGTCACTAGCAACTCAGAAGAACAGCTTTAAGTTTACCTTTATTCTTATTGGCATCTGTATAAGAGAAGCCCTCAGCTTGTCCGGTCTTGCGTCCAAATAGGCCATTCAGGTTGGGTCCAGTCTTGTGCTTGCCTCCCTTTTCAACTGTATGGCACTGGGAACATTTCTGGACAAAGATCTTCTTGCCCTTCTCAATATCTCCCATTTTCAGCACTAGACCAAGAACACACACAGAGGTCAGTATCGCAATTTCAAGGTCACCTACTCAACAGAAACTTTGAAATCGTCCGGCTGGTTTGCAAACCCATGTATATGGCACATCAGCCTAGTAATTCCCTGGCACGCTTTCTATCCACAAGCTGTAGCTTCCAGGTGTGAAGATTAGCACAGAATCATTAGACTATGAAAACAGCATCAAAATGATAAACACGCTTGGAGTGCACGAAAAGCTTCCCCTCAGGGGAAGCAATCGCCCCACAGCATCTGAACAGCACGGAGATGGTTTCTGAAGAGCAAACTGGACGCAACTCCTGTGCAGAGCTCGTGTATCGGCCACAGGGAAGTTTCCCAGCCTCAAACAACCTCCCGCCGAGGGACGGGCCCGCTGCCCTGCTCCTCCTTCCCAGCCCGAGAGCGCACCCCCACACCGCCTCGGGGCGCCCGGGGTCAGCGAGAGCACCCAAGGACAACCGGCCTTCCTGCCGCCGGGCCTGACCTTGGGGCCGGGAGCAGGCTCCT